AATGTGTGTGTGTGCTTTCTGCAGATGTATTTATTGCATTCTACACAAGTGGTGCTTGTTTTACTGTCTTGTCGAGGGGGGCAGAGCTGGCATCTTTTCCGTTTCTTGCCACTGCCTGTATCCACTGGATCCATTTCTGGTTGATTGGAGGCATGTGTTGATGGTCCAGCTTGAATTTTCTGGACGGCAGATGCAGCTGCTGTCGACCGAGGAGGCCGGACTCTCCTCTGGATCTTGGGAGTGATGAGAGCTTTGCCGAGCTCCTCTAGGAAAAGCCGGCGTCGGTACAATTTGCCACCATTCCATTGCTGGTTGATTTCAGTCCACAGGACATAGGCATTGTAAGCAGACACATCCACAATGTTGTAGAAAATCACCAAAGGCCAGCGGGCAGTCATGCGCTGACAACTATATGTTGCTGTGACTTTATCCAAATTGTCAACTCCTCCTTTGGTGGAATTGTAGTCCAGTATTATGTGTGGCTTGATGTCCTCTCTTGCACTCAGCGATGCATCTTTGTGCATTGTGCTCATTACAAGAACATTCTTGTTCTTCTTTGGGCAGTATGAAACAACAGTTGCATTTTCAGAGAAAGCAAATTTAGAGGAATGCACAGTTCTGCCCTGCATTTTCAGAAGCTCACTGGGAAGTTCAGGTTTGTTTTTTCTGATTGTTCCAACCATGGTCAGCTTTCTCTTCTGTAGTTCAACACCAAGGCGGTAGGATGTGAAGAAGTTGTCACACGTGATGTTATGACCTTGCAGCCCTTCACTCATGTCCAGCACCACCCGCATCCCCTGGTTTTTCTCAGGCACTCCGCCGGGTGGCTTCCCAGTGTAAACTTGCATATTCCATGCATAGCTTGATGTGGCATCACATGCTGCCCATATTTTGATGCCATATTTTGCAGGCTTGTTTGGCATATACTGTCTGAAGGGACAACGTCCTCTGAATGGAACAAGGCGTTCATCAACTGTAACATGAGGACTGGGATTGTACAGTAACGGTAGAATTTCCACCCATTTATCCCATACATCTCTGATTGCAGCTAGTTTGTCTCTTTCACGTCGACCCGGTCTGGTATCACGGTTATCAAAGCGAATCACCCGAGAAATTATGTGGAATTCTTGTAGAGACATTGTTGCCCGAAATATTGGCCTTCCATTCTCTTCATTCCACAGGCTGGCCGTTGCTTCTCCGTTTGACCGGTAGACTCCAGCTAATATGAGCAATCCAATGTATGCATGCAAGTCAATCCGATCCAGTGGCTTCCAGTTCTCTTGAAACACACGGCTCCCCTCCAAGTTGGTCATGTCCAGAACAATCTTCTCTATTGCTTGGGGTAAAAAGAGCTCAAAAGCTGATTGTATGTCATTGACTCGAGTGACAGCAAATCGTGTAGGTCCTGGAACCATTTTTATTACATTGGAAGCTGAGAGTCTACCTTGACCTCGTTGTGGTGACGGTGACCATTCAATATGACCATCTTTAGACTTCCATGTCTTCTCTTCTCTTGATGATGCTTGTTGCATGCTCTGTCTCTCATCTGATGTAGGGGATGGTACGGCAGACTCCTCCTCTGAATCCTCTTCAATGAAGACAAAATCTGGATCATCAACAGCATTGTCCTCTATCTCTGAAATATCCTCTGTCTCTGAAACCTCTTCTTCTTTTTCACTGTCACAGTCCAGAATTTGTGATAAGACTTCATTGATTGAAAATCTTTTGGAGCTCATTTTTGAGTGTCTGTGTCAGGGACCTGCTGCTCTCACACTGAGGAGAAGCTTGGGAAAGCCCTTTTTAACCCAAACACAATTCTAAAAGTGCAACCAGGACCAGTCAAAACAAAATAAATCAAAGACACTTTTTTGTTTTGCACCTGTGCAAATATATATACACATGAAAGCCTCCGGGTCAAAATGACCCACAACATCATGTTTGTATAGAAAATGTACACAGACATTCCACAACACATCAGTGTGTCCACATTTTGCAGTTAGGTTCATGACCCTAAATGAGGAAAAGTCATGTAATTTCATGGCGAAAAAGAGTGGTTAACTAGTATTTTAGACAACGCAAAAGTGGAAACGGGTCAAATTGACCCACAACATAACAGGAGGGTTAATGGCACAGGCAGGGAGCCCAGCCAACAGCGAGTTGCAGTAGTCCAGACGGGAGATGACAAGTGCCTGGACCAGGACCTGCGCCGCTTCCTGTGTAAGGCAGGGTCGCACTCTCCGAATGTTGTAGAGCATGAACCTGCAGGAGCGGGTCACCGCCTTGATGTTGGCGGAGAACGACAGGGTGTTGTCCAGGGTCACGCCTAGGCTCTTCGCACTCTGGGAGGAGGACACAGCGGAGTTGTCTACCGTGATGGCGAGATCATGGAACGGGCAGTCCTTCCCCGGGAGGAAGAGCAGCTCCGTCTTGCCAGGGTTCAGCTTGAGGTGGTGATCCGTCATCCATACTGATATGTCTGCCAGACATGCAGAGATGCGATTCGCCACCTGGTTATCAGAAGGGGGAAAGGAGAAGATTAGTTGTGTATCGTCAGCGTAGCAATGATAGGAAAGGCCATGTGAGGATATGACAGAGCCAAGTGACTTGGTGTATAGGGAGAAAAGGAGAGGGCCCAAAACCGATCCCTGGGGGACACCAGTGGTGAGAGCACGTGGTGCGGAGACAGCTTCCCGCCACGCCACTTGGTAGGAGCGACCGGTCAGGTAGGACGCAATCCAGGAGTGAGCCGCGCCGGAGATGCCCATTTCGGAGAGGGTGGAGAGGAGGATCTGATGGTTCACAGTATCAAAGGCAGCAGACAGGTCTAGAAGGACAAGAGCAGAGGAGAGAGAGTTAGCTTTAGCAGTGCGGAGAGTCTCTGTGACACAGAGAAGAGCAGTCTCAGTTGAATGACCAGTCCTGAAACCTGATTGGTTTGGATCAAGAAGGTCATTCTGAGAGAGATAGCAAGAGAGTTGGCTAAAGACGGCACGCTCAATAGTTTTGGAAAGAAAAGAAAGAAGGGATACTGGTCTGTAGTTGTTGACATCAGTGGGGTCGAGTGTTGGTTTTTTGAGAAGGGGAGTAACTCTCGCTCTCTTGAAGACGGAAGGGACATGGCCAGCGGTCAAGGATGAGTTGATCAGCGAGGTGAGGTAGGGGAGAAGGTCACCGGAGATGGTCTGGAGAAGGGAGGAGGGGATGGGGTCAAGCGGGCAGGTTGTTGGGCGGCCTGCAGTCACAAGTCGCAGGATCTTATCTGGAGAGAGAGGGGAGAAAGAAGTCAAAGCATAGGGTAGGGCAGTGTGAGCAGGACCAGCAGTGTCATTAGACTTAACAAACAAGGATCGGATGTCGTCAACCTTCTTTTCAAAGTGGTTGACGAAGTCATCCACAGAGAGAGAGGAGGGGGGGGGGGGGGGGGGGAGGATTCAGGAGGGAGGAAAATGTGGCAAAGAGCTTCCTAGGGTTAGAGGCAGATGCTTGGAATTTAGAGTGGTAGAAGGTGGCCTTAGCAGCAGAAACAGATGAAGAAAATGTAGAGAGGAGGGAGTGAAAAGATGCCAGGTCGGCAGGGAATTTAGTTTTCTTCCAATTTAGTTTTCTTCCAATTTAGTTTTCTTCCAATTTAGTTTTCATCTCAAGGATGATCAATGGAAACAGGATGCACCTGAGCTCAATTTCGAGTCTCATAGCAAAGGGTCTGAATACTTATGTAAATAAGGTTTCTAAAAACCTGTTTTTGCTTTGCCATTATGGGGTATTGTGTGTAGATTATTGAGGATTTTTATTTATTTAATCCATTTTAGAATACGGCTGTAACGAAACAAAATGTGGAAAAAGTCAAGGGGTCTGAATACTTTCCGAAGGCACTGTATTTAGCTTTGTTTGCTAGCAAGTTTCTCACACTGGCTTTAGCCACGGCCCAAGGGGCAAGCAGGCCTGCCAGGGCAAGTCCAGTGGGGTTGCCTAGCAACACATGCCTTGGCACGGAGGCAACTTCAGTATAGTGCAACAAATTCCCATTTTTGTATTCGTCCAAAATGGATCGGGCCGGCCAATGTTTTTTGTACTTGTGGCTGGATCATATGTTAGGGCCTGTATTCCTCAAACTTGTTATCGATGAGAATTACTCCTAAGTGGCAAGGTTTTTGGACAATTCTCAGAATCATGAAATTTCATATCAATCTGAATTCATAATGGAATAATGCCTGAGCGTAAGAGGAGTTATATACAGTATATGCCTGTTTTTTGAGTGCTCCAACACCTGTTTACCATGAGTCCTTTTCCTTGTTAAGCCCTATCATTAGAGTCCTGTCATTGTTGTTAAGCAGCCCTCCTACTTCTTTTGCTCGCTCAAGCGTGAAGGCCTATACTTGAATTCTACACTGAATATATGCCTCTTGAGCCAAAAAGGTCCCCTAAATGGACAGAAACATTGTCCAGGAATTCATTGGACAGAAAGCCCAAGCACATGAGCAGAAGGTTATATTGCAAACATTAGTTAGCCTAAAACTAAAGATTGATCATACAGTCAACACTCTAGCCAACATTTGAGGTAAACATTAGCAACTACACTTCCAAGTAATTCACAAATGTTTAAAGGTTACAAACAGTCAGGACAGCTGTTGTAAGCTTATTAGATAAACACCAAAGACCTCTGTGTGAACCATTTTTTAATGTTACCCTATTTCAATTGTTTGTGCGATTCAGTCCTCTGTTTCTGAAGAAAGTGCTGATGGCACTGCAGGATAACTCCGTCAAAAGCATTTATGGATAAGTCCCTAAAGACCAAGACATCCAGCACAAAGCCAGAGTTAAACCAGCAGAGCGCGGATTACAAAAGGCTGAAATTCGTACCATTAGCCGGCTTAACAGCATTGGAAAGAAGATTAGCTGGCTGCAGTAACACTGAACTACTATCTATGTAAATGGGATCATCCTTATCATCCAGGTTTTTGTGCACGGAAAGAAGATTACGTTCAGGGACTGTGTCTTATATACATGTGCAGGTGTGTGTGGTTGTATGAGAGGATGTGTGTGTTGAGGAAATTACTTGAAATCCTTCATTTGAGGGTGGGGCACTGTGATATCACTCTTAAGGCCTTATAAAAGTCCACTTAGTTCCCCACCAGGACATGCGATCAACCTTCGAGTTCCTGAGGTAGACACAAGGCAATTAACGCATTTTTAATTATTTTTTCTTCTTTTTATGCAATAGATCTTTGCAGTTATAGGACCTTGGTAGTGGGGAAACAAATTATATAAAAAAAATTGGTTATCAAATAAGTTGAACACAATGAGGTCGAATGCTCGCCCCGTGGAGCTCCAGGAGGGATTCTACATCCCTATCGCGCTGGATACCAACAACATCACATCACTCAGCCCCTTCCTGGTTCCTCAGGACCACCTGGCGGGCAGTGCTATCTTCTATGGCATGTCATTTTTCATGTTCTTCCTATTTGTTGCCGGCACTGCTATCAACGTCCTTACCATTGTGTGTACTATCCAGTTCAAGAAGCTGCGATCCCATCTCAACTACATCCTGGTGAACTTGGCAATTGCTAACCTGCTGGTGTCCATGTTTGGGTCCTCCACCGCCTGCTTGTCCTTCGCTAACAGATACTTTATCTTGGGATCAGTTGCATGCCAGTTTGAGGGATTTGCAGCTACTCTAGGCGGTAAGGAAAATATATAGTTTACAAATACTACAACTATGTGCACAAGTACATCTGAACATCTTTTGTATTGTCTTAATAGACAAGCTTAATATGTACAATTTGAAATTAATGGATTGGTGTTACACATTTCTTTTCATGTAGTAATTTCACATCTATTTTGACAGTTTGTATGCTTCAATCCTTTTGTAAATTGATAATCTGTAGCAGTGCTTTAGCAATTCCTCATAGTAAAAAGGATATTCACATCTCCCTATAAACCATTCATGTATGTGCTTTTATTCTCTGTGTCATTGCAGGTATGGTGAGCTTATGGTCTCTCTCAGTAGTGGCGTTTGAAAGATGGTTGGTTATTTGTAAGCCAATCGGTAACTTTCAATTCAAGAGCACCCATGCAATAATTGGCTGTGCAGTCACTTGGGTGTTTGGGTTGGCTGCCAGTCTTCCCCCTCTGTTTGGCTGGAGTAGGTCAGTGTCATTTATCACTCCTATCTCTCTATCTCTTTCTCTCTCTCTGTGTGTACAGAAATCACATACGCAAGTTCGCACACACAAATAATTTGGGTTTGTACATGTGATACAACAATTGTGCAACACTGTTCCTGGTTTTAAGGGTGAGGACTGTGATCTGTTCTCTTCCCCAGATACATTCCAGAAGGTCTCCAGTGCTCCTGTGGACCAGACTGGTACACCTCAAACAACAAATACAACAATGAGTCCTATGTGATGTTCCTCTTCTTCTTCTGCTTCGGATTCCCATTTAGTGTAATCGTTTTCTGCTACGCCCAGCTGCTCTTCATGATGAAAGCGGTATGTGCAAGTTACACAGAGGAAGAGATCCTTTGAATTAGTTGCTAACATGGGCATTGTTAATCACTGTGTAGTCACATACATTTTTAAAAAACAAGTTTATTGTCATATAGCAGCACATATTTAGTTACAATACAAGGATTAACATAAGATATAATATGGTAATCTAAGTAAAGACAAGTGGAATTAGCTAAATGTATACGAAAAAGCATACATGAAAAAGGGTAAATGGTTCAAAGGAAAGGTAGGAAAATAAACATTTCAAAAACACTAACAACCACCCTAATGAATTACAATCAACCTAGCTACGTTTTAGATTGAGAACATGCTTTCTTCTGATTATTTTGGAATCTATCCATGTCATAGTGATTATTAGTGGAAGCCTTGTGGTGAGACACAGACATCGGTAGGCTGCTCCTACAGCACTGGAATCAGGCCCTCTTTGTCTCCCCGCACAGGCTGCCGCAGCACAGGCAGACTCTGCCTCCACCCAGAAGGCAGAGAAGGAGGTCACCAAGATGGTGGTGGTAATGGTGCTGGGCTTCCTAGTGTGCTGGTTGCCCTACGCCTCCTTTGCCGTCTGGGTTGTACAAAACCGTGGTGCACCCTTTGATCTTCGATTGGCCACCATACCTTCCTGCTTTTCCAAGGCCTCCACAGTCTACAACCCTCTCATCTATGTCTTAATGAATAAGATGGTATGTTTATAGTTTTTAAGTGTCTTGTGGAAGGGTATTCTTTGGATCAATTAACAGGTTGAATAGTTACTTTATTACCATAAATAATTTGTCTTTCTTTATTGTGCCACTCACATATGATTTCATCTGACAATTTTCATCTGATAATTTTCATATGATCATTTCCCCCCCTCACACCCATCAGTGATTTTTTATCTTCCTCCTCACTTTCAGTTCCGCTCATGCATGATGAATTTGCTGGGATTGAAGTCCGGGGATGATGAGGAAGCATCATCAACATCATCAGTCACTCAAGTGTCTTCTGCTGGTTAAAGAGGGCATCTCTATTTTTATTTTACTTGATGAACTGTTGCTACTGTATGATCATTTGTATATTGTAAATAATATTGAATGTGCACTCAACAGGATGTTTTGTCCTTGAAGGTGTTGTCAAAAATATGTGGTATGATAATCTTATAAGAGTAGCTATAACAATTGAAATGCACTAAAGAGAGATAAGAATAAATGCACACCCCCGCAAATTTTATTTTGCTCATTTATTGGTTTGGGTGTTTGTGTCTCTATGCAAACTTCACTTATAAACACTTGACATAGTGTGCATTATGATGCATTGCTTCAACGTGGTACAAAACAAGACAATAAAACACAAAATGAATATTTTCAATGTTTAAGTGGGTAAATACATTTTGCATAGGTCTATAAGTTGGTAGCCAGAAAATGAGTATTCAAATTTAGACTTCAGCAGCAGCAGCACAGCAGTTATATATAGTTATATGGCAACAATTTTGAATTCATATACACTATATACACAAAAGTATGTGGAAACCCCTTCAAATTATTCGATTTGGCTATTTCAGCCACACCTGTTGCTGACAGGTGTATAAAATCGAGCACACAGCCATGCAATCTTCAAAGACAAACATTGGCAGTAGAATGGCCCGTACTGAAGAGCTCAGTGACTTTGAACGTGGCACCATCATAGGATGCCACCTTTCCAACAAGTCAGTTCGTCAAATGTCTGCTCTACTAGAGCTGCCCCGGTCAGCTGTAAGTGCTGTTATTGTGAAGTGGAACTTCATGAAATTGGTTTCCATGGCCGAGCAGCCGCACACAAGCCTAAGATCACCATGCACAATGCCAAACGTCAGCTAGAGTGGTGTAAAACTCGCCGCCGGAAATCTTAACACTACAGCATACAATGACATTCTAGTTGATTCTGTGCTTCCAACTTTATGGCAACAGTTTGGGGATGGGCCTTTCCTGTTTCCGCATGACAATGCCCCTGTGCACAAAGCGAGGTCCATACAGAAATGGTTTGTCAAGATTGTTTTGGAAGAACTTAGTTGCTAACAAGAGCCCTGACCTAAACCCCATCGAACACCTTTGGGATGAATTGGAACGCGAACTGCAAGCCAGGCCTAATCGCCCAACATCAGTGCCCGACCTCATTAATGCTTGTGGCTGAATGGAAGCAAGTCCCCGCAGCAATGTTCCAACATCTAGTGGAAAGCCTTCCCAGAAGAGTGGATGGAGGCTGTTATAGCAGCAAAGGGGGGAACAACTCCATATTAATGCCCATGATTTTGGAATGAGATGTTCGACGAGCAGGTGTCCACATACTTTTGGCCATGTACTGTATCATCATGTACAGTTGAAGTCGGAAGATTACATACACCTTAGCCAAATACATTTAAACTCAGTTTTTCACAATTCCTGACATTTAATCCTAGTACAAATGCCCTGTCTTAGGTCAGTTAGGATCACCACTTTATTTTAAGAATGTGAAATGTCAGAATAATAGTAGAGAGAATGATTATTTTTTTTAATCACATTCCCAGTGGGTCAGAAGTTTACATGCACTGAATTAGTATTTAGTAGCATTGCCTTTAAATTGTTTAACTTGGGTCAAACGTTTCGGGTAGCCTTCCACAAGTTTTTTCACAATAAATTGGGTGAATTTTGGCCCATTCCTCCTGACAGAGCTGGTGTAACTGAGTCAGGTTTGTAGGCCTCCTTGCTCGCACACGCTTTTTCAGTTCTGCCCACATATTTTCTATAGGATTGAGGTCAGGGCTTTGTGATGGCCACTCCAATACCTTGACTTTGTTGTCCTTAAGCCATTTTGCCACATCTTTGGAAGTATGCTTGGGATCATTGTCCATTTGGAAGACCCATTTGAGACCAAGCTTTAACTTCCTGACTGATGTCTTGAGATGTTGCTTCAATATATTCACATAATTTTCCTTCCTCATGATGCCATCTATTTTGTGAAGTGCACCAGTCCCTCCTGCAGCAAAGCACACCCACAGCATGATGCTACCACCCCCCGTGCTTCACAGTTGGGATGGTGTTCTTCGGCTTGCAAGCAACCCCTTTTTTCCTCCAAACATAATGATGGTCATTATGGCCAAACAGTTCTATCAGACCAGAGGACATTTCTCCAAAAAGTACCATCTTTGTCCCCATGTGCAGTTGCAAACCGTAGTCTGGCTTTTTTATGGCGGTTTTGGAGCAGTGGCTTCTTCCTTGCTGAGCGGCCTTTCAGGTTATGTCGATATAGGACTCATTTTACTGTGGATATAGATACTTTTGTACCTGTTTCCTCCAGCATCTTCACAAGGTCCTTTGCTGTTGTTCTGGGATTGATTTGCACTTTCGCACCAAAGTACGTTCATCTCTAGGCGACAGAACGTGTCTCCTTCCTGAGCGGTATGAAGGCTGCGTGGTCCCATTGTGTTTATACTTGCGTACTATTGTTTGTACAGATGAACGTGGTACATTCAGGCATTTGGAAATTGCTCCCAAGGATTAACCAGACTTGTGGAGGTCTACAATATTTATTCTGAGGTCTTGGCTGATTTTTTTTTTTTTTCCCATGATGTCAAGCAAAGAGGCACTGAGGTTGAAGGTAGGCCTTGAAATACATCCACAGGTACACCTCCAATTGACTCAAATGATGTCAATTAGCCTATCAGAAGCTTCTAAAGCCATGACATCATTTTCTGGAATTTTCCAACCTGTTTAAAGGCACAGTCAACTTAGTGTATGTACACTTCTGACCCACTGGATTTGTGATACAGTGAATTATAAGTGAAATAATCTGTCTGTAAACAATTGTTGGAAGAATTACTTGTGTCATGCACAAAGTAGATGTCCTAACCGACTTGCCAAAACTACAGTTTGTTAACAAGACTTTGTGGAGTGGTTGAAAAACAAGTTTTAATGACTCCAACCGAAGTGTATGTAAACTTCCGACTTCAACTGTATATACAGTACCAGTCAAAAATTTGGACACATTCAAGGGTTCAAGGGTTGATGACAAAGCTGTCATCAAGGCAAAGGGTGGCTCCTTTGAAGAATCTTAAATATAAAATATGTTTTGATTTGTTTAACACTTGTTTGGTTTCTACGTGATCCATATGTGTTATTTCATAGTTTTGATATCTTCACTATTATTCTGCAATGTAGAAAATAGTAAAAATAAAGAAAAACCCTGGAATGAGTATGTGCCTCCAAACTTTTGACTGGTACTGTATATATATATATATATATATATATATATATATATATATACAGTGCCCTCCACTATTATTGGCACCCCTGTTTAAGATGTGGTCTGTCACGCCCTGGCTCTGGGGACTCTAGTATGTTGAGCCAGGGTGTGAGTTTTCATTTGTGTTTGTTCTGGTTTTGTATATCTATGTTTGAGTTTGAGTTTGAGTTTATTTTTACAGGGACATTGCACATTAATCAACGTTTCAGTAAAAGTGCCGGTTTTAGCCAGCCGGCTAATTTTCAACCGCAGTCCCTGGGCAGGTTATTAAAAACAATTACAATATAGACAATAACAACATAGAACAAGACATAGCATACAGACATAGCAACATAGGACAAACAAGACGTAGCATACAGACCGAGCAACATAGAACAAAAAGCAGCAAGACAAAATTCATAAAAGCAAAAAAGTGTTTCCACACCTCACAAGTTACAGACAACAGACATGGAAAGCGGCAACACACAGCTAGGGACCATGTTCACAAATCTGATTGACCTTTAGCCATGTCTTCAAGCATTTTGTGAAAGTGTGTTATGTGGTGCAGTTATGTGTGTCTGATGACAGTGTATTCCAGACATGGGAAGCTCTCACAGAAAAAGCGGATTTACTAAAGGTGCTTTTCCTTAGGGGAACTACACAGTCACCTCTCATGGCAGACCTTGTGGATCTGCTGCCATATGTTTGGGTTTTCTGTTTAACAAAAATACTGAGTGGAGGGGGAGCCAAGCCATTTAGGATCTTGAATACAAGACATGCATCGGTGTATTGCACAAGATTTTCCCAACTCAGGAGCTCATGCTTTCTAAGGATGTGACAGTGATGATGGCTATTGGGCTTCCTATCAAGCACTTTGAGAGCCTGTTTGTAGACAGACTGAATAGGTCTTACTGTTGTACAGCAAGCTTGGGCCCAACTAGTCAAGCAGTATGTTAAGTGGGGGAGTATCATAGATTTGAAATACAGTTTTGCTACCTCTGTAGTCAAACAATTTCGTATAAATCGGAAATTAGCTAGGTTGAATTTGGTTATTTGAATTACCTTTTTCACATGCTTTTTAAAAGAGAGGTTGGAATCAAGTATGATGCCAAGGTACTTAAAATCAGATACCCCCTGGAGCTTCTCCCCTGACACATAGACTTCTGGCTCAGTAGCATCTGTTGCCCCCTTTGTGAAGAACATGCAAACAGTTTTTTTCACATTGAGATGCAAACACGAGTCACTGAGCCACTTTGTAACCTGGACCATTACAGTAGTGAGTTCTTGTGCAGCTTGTTGTTTGCTCTTTGCATGCACATATATCACTGTATCATCTGCATACATTTGAACTTCAGACCCAGTACAGACAGAAGGCAGATCATTAATGTACAGGCTGAACAGGAGGGGCCCCAGTATTGACCCTTGGGGCACACCCACATCATAGCTAAGAGTGGGCGACAGCTCATTGCTCACTCTGACACACTGAGTTCTGCCTTCAAGGTATGATTTCATCCATCTCAAGGCATCGGGGGAAAAGTTGAACTTGGACAATTTTGTGATGAGAATCTCATGGTTAACAGTATGTTGGCCAGGGTGGCTCCCAATCAGAGACGGCTGTAGCTCGTTGTCTCTGATTGGGAGTCATACTTAGGTAGCCGTTAGGCATTCATTTGGTGTGGTTTCTTGTTCCGTGTTGGTTTGTGAATGTAACCAGGGACGTCACGTTTTCGTTTTGTTGTTTTGTTCGTGTGATCATCAATTAATGAATATGTTCGCATTCCACGCTGCGCCTTGGTCCTCCTCTGTTCCCGACGATCGTGACAGAAGAAACCACCAAGACTGGACCAAGCAGCGTGTCCAGGAGCCATCGCCAGGGAGATCTCTAGCAGATCTCCTTCGCCTCCTCGACTGGGTCAAGCCGGGTGAGGAAGAGCAGGGCTGGACTTGGAAGCAGAAGGGCGAAAGTCTGGCGAGGGACATGGAGACCTGGTCCACGGGTAGGAGAGACGCCCAGAATTTTTAGGGGGGGGCTCACGCCGTGGACGACGGGGCAGCAGGAGGCCGCCAGGTTACGGGAGTCACTGGTCACCAGGGGGAAGGAGGATGTAGAGGC